GCCTTTACAAGCATCACACACCATCATTACATGATAACGAACACATTTGAAAATTTGCAAGTGCTGATGAAGGCCGTTTATCACTGTCAAAATATAGGTGAGAGACGAAAAGCATATCGTTTTACTCTTCACTTGTGGTAGTACTGTATATTTGCTAAATAGGTATTGATACGCAAAAGCCAAGTAAATGTAATGGTTTGATACAAATTTTCTCCATATATGTAGCATGTGCAAATCTTCAACATTTCTACCAATTTACTCAAATTTACTTCCTTGGAAAAGATGGCAGTTTTTCCTGTACTTCAAATGCAGGCAAAAATATTGCAAAAACCCTAATTTGCAGTGGTGTTTGCTCTTGTTTCTACAGGATACCAAAAGAGCACTTTACTCGTATTTGCCTTAAGAGCAAAAACAATAACTTTCTATATATTTGGACTGTATCATAAATTTGCATCATAATTATCAGATCCATATTTGCAGGGGGAGCAAATATAGTAATCTGTTTCACAACACTCTCATTCATGCTTAGTTTAAATAAGATATGGACATAATATTGCTGAACGGTCTAAGCCAGGCTGGAACAGCTTGGCTTAGGGTAGCAGTGTTGAAAGACCCACGCGAATTTTGTGTAGACAAATGGGGTGGGCGGGTGGGCCGTGGTGGGCCGATCCCTTCTTGACTGCTTCGCTGGCTAGAAACTAAGCTAGAAAGGAGTGTTCTGCTCTAATCCTGTATTTATAGTCCTGCTATACCCTTGTGCACGTACCTGCGTGCATTCCATCCTCGGAAGTATTTTATTTTTCGCGTTTTAATTTCGCATATCATTACGAGTGTTATGAATAGTGTACTACATAACATTTGCTTACAGTAAAAGGTGATGAGCATGTGACATTTCCTATACATTTGACTCGTTCTGTGACTAAAATAAATTTCCAATCTCAACTGTCACATTACAACGTTACGTTAAAATTTATACACGCCGCAAGACTCTACCCAGAGGTCCAACCCCTCACATGCACCATTTTGACTGTAGAGGTACCCCTTTCACGTGCCTTCTATAAATAAATGGCATCCCTTTCACATATCTTGTCAGGAGCCCACCTGACCTAGTTTCCTGTTAACTGTTGTAAATACACTGTCATTTTCATATAAAGGAATCAGAAACCAGGTAATTTTTTTGACTATATTACGGTCACAAATTTCTTTTGTCAGATTTTTACTTTTTCTCATGTACTTTAACTCAGGAAATCCCTAATATGCTTTCATATCTGAAGCGTGAAAAAGGTGTCCCTTTCTGTTAGTGCCCCCAGCATAACCCCTTACCGGGCTTCTAATTTAAAGCAAATACACTAATTCAAATCTACTGGTTATTAAGGTCCAATAGTCAGATCATTGATGCACTGTTTTTCCTATTATCATAAAAATTCCGCTATTAACTTGGTACAGTGTACATTGTAACAAGTGGTGTTCCCTTGTGCAGAGCAATTACCACAAGGTTCCTTAAACTAAAGATAACACCTATTAATGAGAACTATGTAGTTGTTGGATGGGTGTGAAATTCATCTTCATTAATTTTACATTATGTTCACTAACAAGTTGAATTACGGAACCGAATTACCTACGTTGGCGAAAAATAATATCATTGGCTAGTTTTGATTTGTCCTAATAATTAGGAAACGAAAACTCCTCTTTCTTAGCAAGGAATTGTTTGATAGCTCTGAATAACCTTTTATGGTCTGTACTATTCTCATCAATAAAGTCAGTGTTAAATGCCTGCCTGGCCTGGTTCATGAGATTTGTCACGCGGTTTCTGTAAGACTTTAGAATATTCAAGTCAGACAGAGATCTCGTTCTCCTCCAGGTTCCCTCACCCTTACGTCTCAAGCGTTTCGAGACCTTTATCTCGTCGTTGTACCAAGGCACTGCAGGTCTAACTTTCACAGTCTTAGTATTAAGTGAGGCGTGACAATCAATGACGTTAGAAAGTGTAGTGTTGTATCTGCGTACAAGAGCATCCAGGTCACGAGGATCTTCTGAGTGAAGATGCACTTGCAGATTCGGTGGATCACTGCATAACAAGGAGTCAGATAAGTCCCGCTTAAGAGATTCAAGATCAACGGATTTGAGCTTTCGGTAGCCCGTATGGAAATACATGTATTAATGTATGTAACACTCATTCCTTAGTACTTGTTCTTTTCACTTAGCTGGCAAACAGATAAAATGCTTATAACTTGATAACAAGAGGTAATTAAGGTGATGTTACACGAGACGGTTCGCAACGACGATGTTTAGCTCAACAAAGCGTTGTAACATCGTTGCAACATTGTCTCGAATAGTTACAATATTGCTCCAACATTGCAACGTTGTGTTACACTAAAACTCGTCGTTGCGAATCGTCCCGTGTAACATCACCTTTAACATCGCACGCCTCAAGCTATTAAAAAACTTATATAAAGAAAAAAGCATAATTAAGGAAAGACGCCAAGACATCGAAACCCTCACCCGCGACTTCCAACCCGCACCCCCGACATACAACCTGCGACCCGCGTCCATTAGTCAAACTTTCCACTACTTGAGATTTATAACTTAATTACTATTGCTGTAAAATAGAATTACAGATTTCACTATTGACAGTTGGCTTTGCTCTTACCGATTTCAACTCCCTTCACTAACGTATCTTTTAGTTTCTGTTGTTTATGTACATGTACCTGTCTAACGAAATGTATAAAATACTCATTGTCTTCATTAACTTCTCTTTCCTCCATTGAAACTGAAAAAAAAACCCTGACTTGAGTTGAATTTAAAACGGGTATCGCGCCACATTTTTCTTGGTAAAGACCTGATGACAAAATTCCCATCTGCGTTGGTAAAAAGGTTAATTTTCCAGTCATTTGCTCCACTGATTTTTCCATTAATTATCTATATTAGGGTGGGAAGACCGGACCCGGCTTTGCAAGAATATATTTAGTGAAGCATTGTTGTTATTTCCGAGTTGCAAAGCATAATTCAGGATCAAGCAGCGGAGGTGTAACGTCTACGAGAATGTCATCGTGTGACTTGAAAGATAAACTGAAATGTTGAAAAAAAGTATAGCATCGTGTGCGCGTCAGCTAAAGCCGCGATAGTCATTTAGTGGCCAATTGACGGGTATTGGAACCTGTTTGTTCTCTTATTAAAGGGTCATAAATCGGCTTAGGAACCATACAGGAAAGAAGAAACACACAAATTAAGTGAGGTTAGCCGATTTTTTGTTTAAATCCTTTCACATTCGTAGGCTACAGACATAATCGTTTTTGCCCCTATACAAATCCATATATTCCGAATGTTACTCAACAGCCGATTGCAGGATGGTCATATTTCGAGCTTAGTCCACCTGTGAAAAGACTGGGTGGGACTGAGGTAAATGTGTTTCTCGTGTTCGAGTTTTTGTGTTGGTGTTTAAACCAAATGCCAAAGGTTATCTTTCCCGTTAGGTTACTCTGCGTACCAGGCGCCGGTTTCTTAGGGCAAAGGAAGAAATAACGCGCACGCTCTTAAAAAACTACTCAAAACAACTAACTGGCGCGTGTCACGCGGGCTACCGTTGAGTCTGATGTCGGTTTCGTGTCGTTAGACTGTCTGGTTTCAATCACTTCTCTGACAGTTGATGCAGCGCTGTCACGTGATCAAATTCAGGCCGTAAAATGGGAAACTGGAACCTCCTCTCCTTTACTCTCCTCCGTGAGCAAACACGTCCTCTAAATTTCTCCTCAGCCCTAAAAAACACTGGTACTTTTTACGCGGGCTAAAAGTCAAAGAAAATGACTGACCAACTGCAGGGATCAACCCTAGGTGTCCGTGTTAGGTGGCTATCCGCGTTTTAGAAGTGTCGGTTCAGAGAGTGTTGATTGCAAAGTATAATTGTTGTCTCGACAGATGAGTTGTCGTGAACCGGAGAATGAGGGTTGATTAGACTTGGGCTTCCTTTTAAATGTTTTATTTTCATTCATCTCAACACAATACATCAGATCGAACAAAATTAGTAAAGAACATGTAACGGAGAAACGACAAAAAATAGGTAAACAAATACCTAGCTCTTATCATGGCGATAGAATGGTCAATTAAGGACACATAGACAGAGCAGTGCAAAGCTTCGTTAGAATGGATAGAGGACGTCCAATAATTATAGTGTAGAAAATTAAAATACATTTCCCTAAATCCAGTCCCTCAACCAAGGGCAGTACAAAACAAAAATAGTTACAAAAATATTAATCAAAATCTCTGCTTAAAAGTCCTTATTGAAAGCAATGTTCCCACCATGATACTGCGACTGGAATTTTCTTAATTAAAAGTACTATTTTCCCAAATTTTTGCTAGATTTATATTCACAAATCCACTTTTTAGGGTTCACATGAACTCTCTGTTTAACAAAATGGCCAGACTGTTTGACCCTATGACAAAGCTTTCGACTCTCAATCATCCAAGAAATGAGTTTTTGGAGGATCGCTTGAGTCGTAAATTAATAGAGTTTAAAAACAGAAGCTTTTCAATATAGAGTAAGACTACTCAAAGGAGGGTTCTTATGGCACAGAAAGAAGTTCAGGAGTTTTGGGAGAGTTTTAGCTACATTTAGAATAAATGTTAAGGTTAAGGGTTTTTTTTAACTGCACAAGAAAGGTTACTCTGCCCATGACTGTTGTAGTGTATTTTGGTTTGGTGAAACTTTAAGATTTCGTTCTGTGCCTAACGATGCTTTATACCGACATCTTCAAAAGTGTCGTGTAGTGTTTATCAATTATAGAATTATCTTAAAGAATTCTTTAAGTTATACCTGGAATGACAATTTAGTACGTGACCTAATGTTCATACACTGTTCTCTACGTTTCGTCTTATGAGAGCGCTTGAACGTTTTCCTAAATCTTATTAAGCAGTTTATACAAGAACAGATTGCTGTTACTGTAGTTATATTAGCTATAAAAAGCAAACGCAAACACTATTGTGTGTTTTATAAACCTTTGATATTACATTTTATCCTGTTGCTGGGCCTTTTCTATTGTTTGCTGAAAAGCGTTCAATATTTGGTAAAATTTTCTATCCATCATTCGTTCCAGCTGGACTATTTTCTCCTCTATTTCTCTTCTTGCAACCTTTGTCGGCTTCTGTATGTTCATTTTTCCTGCGTGTTCTATTTCTACACTCTTCACAACCGTAGTCTTCGTTTCAAATGACGATTCAATATTTTTTCGCTTCTGGTTGTCCCTCTCACACAGGTCAACTGTATCTTCTAGGCCAATATGATCTAAGGAACATTCTGTCCCCGACGATGTTGTTGGCACAATGGTTTCTTGATCTATTTCTCTGTCAAAAGATAATTCAACGTTTTTTCGCTTCTGGTTGTCTCTTTCGCACAGCTCCTTTGTCTCTTCTAGGACCATCTGATCTGGGGAACTTTCAACCACCAACTCTGTTGAGACCACGATGACTTCTTCGGTTTCAGTACCCTCATCCATTTCTCTGCTTAAAAGTCGAAAAGCATCATTCATTCGCTGAAAGGACAAGTAAAACTTGTTTTCGATTCCTTCCAAGGTGTCCAATATCGAGTCAAACTCTTCACTCTGAAGTTGATCTCTATCTTTCAATTGAGGGATCCTCACGATTTTGTCCACATCGTGACGAGAAGTCATCTAAATTAAAACAAACATAAACTTCTTTAATTATTGATTTTCAGTGCTATTACCTGCCTTCCCTGTATGGCGTTCCAGTGGCATAATAACTGAACAACCTTTTAAAAGAGGTTGAATAGTGAAAATTTATTATTCCGCACAAATCAATATTTCAGCAACATGAAAGCGGGAAAAATTTTCTCTTTCCCCCCCCAAATTGGTAAATTTAAATGTCAATTTAAACCCTTATGCTCAAGGTTCATCTAAACGTCGTAGGGCATCATCATTGTATGCAAAGAAAATCAAGACACGCTGCTGAAGGTCAGAACCAGAAAAATATATGAAACCTGATGGGAAGTTGCTTCGCCTGGAAAGTACTCTCAGCGATGTAAAATGAAGTGCATATGAAGATAACAAACCAGTGGCTCAAGTCCACTAGATCAAGGTAGCAACATAATTATGTTCTAATTATATCATCCTGTATGATTTGCCCATTCATGCAGATAGGGAAGTATCCGATGAAGGACCTGTACATCCTAGTCAAGAACAGACATGAGAAAAAGTGTATTCCCATAAATGCGGGTGCAATATCTGATAGAAAGACTTCCATCAAGGGTTTAAAAAAAGCTGTCGAAATACAAAGACCTAGAAACAGGTATGGCATGAATAGTGTAAATGAAAACGAAAGGAATCCCTGTCGCCACAGGCGCATTAGGGGTCATTAGGAAAGGCCGCTGATTCAGTGACAAACCAGAAGATGTCAACCTGCAGGAAATCTGAAGACTGAGAACTTCTTGGAAAAGCGCTTACTTTAAGAAGGGTTCTTACTGAGCACTACTCTGGAACCCATGATGATGATGATGATGAATAATCCTTCCCCTCCCCAAAAAATATAAACAGCAAGAAACAGAATTGTTTGGGGCTTGCTCTGTTTTCTGGCAATGGCGTTTAATGAATCAAAAAACTCCAATTTCTTTTTGGATAAACTTAGCCGCTTTTAATCGTTTCAAATCAATATTAATTACAGCCCATAAAACGAGGCCCTACCCAGCAAAGGTGAGGGCAAAAATCCGCATCTATATAGTCAATGGTTCATATGGCTAGGAAAAGAGTGGCAGGGGCTAGGGTAAAGACGAGAAAAGCGACGATTATTTGCTTCTGCCGGTTATGTCGAGTCCGTCGAAAATCACGAAGGATAGATAAGTCCTAGAGGGTTCACGGAGGGTTCAATATAATGCACCCCCATTGACATACTCCAGCCAGCACATGATAGTTTGGTTTAAATTTTAACCGAGTGTCAGAAAACTAGACATAGAAGAAGAACAGAGAACTGGCAAAGGGTGTAAGATTATCGTCATCATTGATGTGGCAACATCCGGTGGGTTATAGCAGGGTATTGGCAAAGGAAAGCGAAAAAAACTGACTAATATCTGAAAAGAGGTAATGACAAAGTGGTGGTGAATTTCCTTGTTAAATTCGCGCAGATGCGATTTATTTAGGCAAACATGGTTACTTTATAGAAAGATAAAATGAAAATGAAAATGAACACGCTAACCTTTGCCAGCACTCTTAATCCTGTGTGTCCCATACCAATGTAGGGATACAATTTCCCATTGTGAGTGTACTTCATTAATATCTCTTTCTCAGTGATCTGCCTTCCGTTTAAATAAAACACGATTGGAACTTTACTATCTTTTGCCAATTCAAACTTGACTGTGCAGCCAATCAAGTCCCCTCTGTAGGCCATGGCGCCTGCAAGAAAATTTGGAAAATAAGTTTAATTACTTGGCCAAACAACGATGTCTAGTAAACCAAACAGCAAAAGTCATATCACTACGTGGGAAACGCTTGAAGTTTACTCTTTACCCTTCGAGTTTATTCTATTTTGTTTGTTTGTTTGTTTGTTTGTTTTCTTTTGCTACAATCCAAATAATATAAACAAGACAATGGCGAAGAGACCTAAAGGAATTATGAAGCGCTATAAAGCTTATGTTAATTAGACCTCCGTATTTGTAATGTTGAGCCCCGTTCCAACGGACTTAACGTTGTTGGCCAACAACTCCTAACATTGTGGGAAGTTGTATGTTGCGTCCGCCCGTTACCTTGTTGCATGTTGTTGCAGCATTCCAGTTTAAACTTTTTGTGTACAGTCAACTCTCGCCTTGCGGACACCCCGCTATAACAGATATCCCGATAAAACGGACTCCGTAGCTAAATTTCCGGTAAAAACAAATTACAAACGTTTGACTGAAATAAACTTCCGCTGATACGGACTCTCGCAAATAAAGGCACTAACTCAAGGTCCCTACAGTGTCCGCTATAAAGGGAGTTGAGTGTAGTGCGCTTTCGACAGTTGCTGAATGCGTGTTAAGGAATAAACCTGTCTAATTTCCCCGCTCTTCAGTGGATAGAACCAGCCCGTCCTTGGAAGGCCATACCTAAAACGTATGCTAATTAAAAATTAAACAAGACTTACCCTAAGTTAAAGTTTGATTGTAAGTCTATCGATCCAGTAGAGATATATCGGGATTACGTGAGATTGAGCACGTGACTAGCAAACTGCATGCTTTAAAAAAAGGCGAAAGGACAATAGATGTATGTTGGTGATGCCGTATCGGTGGGTAGAAGATGGATATCTAAAGGGACTAAGGTATCAATTTTACTTGTGGATGCAGCACGGGTGCTGCGCGGTGTGAGCATAGCCATATCAACACCTACATTTTGCAAGGCGGTCTTAACCCACCGTGCAATAGTAGATTTACTCACTACTTTGTGTGGTTTAGTAAAGTGGATAAACAGAGCACTTTGATTTTGCCTGAATTCCCTTGAGTCCTCTTGATATAAGTACCAATAGTGGTAACAATGCGAAGATTAAGGTCCTCTGGGTAAGCAGCAAACTCCAATGCTTCTTGATGACTTCTTGGTTTGGTGTGTTTAAACTCAACATATGTATAGTCTGTCAACCTTGGGCATTAACTAGAGCCACCAGTGTAACAGTTTTGAGTGAAAGGCTTTTAAGGGACAATCGAGCCACAGGTAACAATATGCCGCACAATTTTGTTCCTTGGAAGAGCAGGGCGATTCTCAGACACACCTTGATGAATCGAACAATTACAGAATGTTTAGTCTGTATACATAACGAACGATAATGCAGACCTGGCTGTATTAATGCAACTATAACCCAGACCTTTGGTAAACAGAGACGTTAAGAAATCAATTACAGTTCCCAAAGTGGGTGAGCTGCGATTCCTGTTCCTGTCAGTAGAAATTCCAACCATTGTTTGATGAAGGGACCATGTTGTTTTTGTGTGGATGCTCTCCATGAGGACATGCGAATGTCTGAAGCTTGCTTGAGAGTGACCCTCATTGTCAGGTCCTTTAATTACAAGCTCATCAACTCTGTAAGAAAAATCACCATCTAAAGAAGGTGATGAACGGTTCTCCCGTTAGCAATGTTTCGTTTTGGGAGTTAAGTTTTTCTCCCATGGATTCCAGCGGTGCATTCAATTTTGACTGTCCACTCGCTTTTTGTTGAAAGACTGTTTGTATCATTCCTAGCAATTTTGCCATTAATTCGTCGGTATTTGAACCGATTTGATTTACAGAAGAGCCCTTTGTCGAAGTGCGTCTTTCTCTGTTGGGTTTCGTGATTTTGTTAAGTCTTTGACTTTACGTGTGACTGCTTGTTCGGTCTTTGCGTCTGTTGCAGCGGGAGCGCCATCTTGATTCGTCTTAGCCCTCTTGCTAGATGTGTTCCTTCTTGTCTCTAAAGTCGGCCGTCCGGGGCCGGGAATAAAAGGATTGCAAGTTGTCTTCTTCTGTTACAGGATCGGTGAAGGAGGAGTCGTTTCCTACGCCATGAGCGCTGCTTGGATAAGTTGAATTTCCTTTGTTAAAATAACCGACTTCCTCGTACGGTTTGCTGATTGCTTATGCGGTGTGTTGGTCACGCGCTCAATCTCACATGTAGTATCAATTGGCGCACGAGGTAAAATCTTTTCCTTGGGACTCGCGATTTTTTGGCAACCTCACTCTTGTGAGATGATGATCATTAAATCGTTCTCCTTTGCAAATCTCATTTGGAAAAATTTATAACATATGGAAGAATGAAATTTCATTGGTCTTGTCATACAATAGAAGTTTTTACGTAGAAATTCCCTGAAGTCTCCATAATTGACTCAAAAACTGAAAGGATTAGTTATCCTCCAAGTTAATTTTCTTCAGCTCTTTTCCGTTACCTTCATACTCTCTTCCCTTTGTAGGGTTGGTTGCATCAAATATTTTTCCCTCATCAATGTGATATCCCACGGATCCCCTTAGCCAACCCGGCAGGGCGTGATTTCCATAATCTTCATCAACAACACCCAATCCTAAAAGCCGCCTTTTTCCAGTTTCCTGAATAAGAACCTAGATAAATAGATGTGAGCAACAAATGGTTGGAAAAAATACTAACGCTTTCTGGGTGGTAAATTCACAGCCACAAATCTTTTGCAAGTTGAAATAATATTTAAACGATCAGAATCTATATTTCAGCTACAATTTTTGTCAGTTAAAAATTGTATTCATTCTTTTGAAAAACTACTTTTCCTGGCTTACTTAAATACGACATACCTCAAAATGGGGCGAGTCGGGAGAAAAAGGGATCTTGTATCTTGCACCGTGATATTCAGCTGGATAGTTAATATCTTTGCATGTGTCGCAAAGTTTGCTCCCTTCACAAATTAAAAGGCATCCTTGGATTCTAATTCCCTTTTTTTGCCAGGCCTGGAAGAAGCGTTTATCTATTAAAATCGGTCAGCCCAAAACTACATTATTTACGTAATGGGGGAGTTATTAAGTACTTAATAATGTACATTGAAAAATTTCTTGAATATGCAAGATTGGCAAAGAGCAAATATGAGGTTTTTAGAAAACAACAGCGGAAAACGAGGAAACATAATGCACTGAAAAAAAGGAAATAAAATGCAAATATCTCAGAGAAAGAAACACTGTGATTGGCTAAAAAATAATTTAAGGACCAATCAGGTGCCGCAATCTGCTGGCAGACACCTTGAAGTTTGGCATCTAATAAAGAACCCACAGCCGAAATCAAATCTACATCGGTTCTGTCATACATCAAAGGGTTATCTGAACCACTTCTTCGTTGCTTACAACAGCACGGCATACGATCTGTTTTCAGGTCCGACACAAAACTGAGATCACACTTATGTTTTAGTACGACCTAAGGATGCTGTTGATCTACGAGAACAAGATGGCGTAGTGTATAAGATTCCTTGTAAATGCGGTAAAGTATATATTGGCGAAACGGGAAGGTGCATGCATGAACGGATTAAGGAACACGCGCGGTAGAGATATACGGCTTTCACGAACTCAAACTTTAGCTTTTTCCAATAAGACCAGGCATTATCCGCAATGGGACGAGGTTAAGTTCATTAACCGCATAGTATTAAAGGGTAATCATACGACTTTTCTCGTTCAACTTGGACTGAATTTATTTGCACTGGTGAGTTTTTCAGAAACCTCAAATTTCGATACTTTTTTAAAATTCCAAATTGATCTTGAGGTCGTTTGATTACCTATGTAAATTCTGTGTGGGCTAAACTTTTGTGGTTTAAAGTTTTTTGCATAGTAAGTGTGACTGTACGTAAACTTGTGCGGTGAAAGTTAACAAAATCTGGTAAGAAAAGAAATAAGAGCAACCCAATTTTACAACGAAAAAACATCATAAAATTCATGACCATTATGAGATGAAAGCATACCTCTGGACCAGCGGGAAAAATGGAATCATTTACTCCAGTTGCTGCAAATGTTTTGTAAGCTATCTGATTTACCATTTGCCTGTTTCGCTCAGTTTCTTGAAGAACGTAGTCCATTTTTCTTTCATCTTAATAGCAAATAACAAAATAAAGGTGCTTAATTTGCTGCCGCAGACATAACGTTTGAGCAAAGAGAGAACCTGCATACTACAAAGCTTAAAAAAAAGGTAATTAGAATGTAAAGCGACTGAAATTAATGATTGGGCCATATTGCGTAAATGAAAGCCGACTCACAAGGCATTTTCGAAGAAACTGGTAAAAATAAATCAACGAAGATGAGCATTAGTCAGGATCTGTTGGCGGAAAGCTGTTGAGGACCATACGTACTAAAACAGCATTTTTACCTGTCAGAGGAAATGAGTAGCCATAACTGGAAAGGTACGCATTCTGTAGTTTTTCCACAACTTCATTCAAAGTATTTCCTTTTTTCTCCAGGGAATTCTAAAATAAATAAACCAGGAGTTCTGATATGAAAGATGCAGGTACTAAGGTTGGAAGCACGGTTGAATCAAGATTATCGTGTTCGAGGATTGTTTTCTTAATGATGCGGTAAGTGATCCTTCTGTTGTTCAGAGAAACAAAATAAATATATATACAAGTAAGGCTGGCAAAGTAAGTGGGCAAAACTACTTCGCCAAAGCCTCAAAACTTCTTAGGGATAAATATAACATTTTAAGGGCGGAATCTCGGGTTAACTAGTTTTGACTGAATATCACTTTTTTGTCCATTAGGCAATGAAGATGTTTGGCATGACCTAGGGTACTACCATTTACATGGGATAACCGGAAATTCCGGTTGAAAAAATTGAATGGTTCGCCCCATTCCGTTTGGGAAGCTTCAGATAATAATGGACTGGGATTTGTGGCGATGTAATTTTACCACTCTGTTCTGACTCTGTTCAGCTGATTTGGAAAAGCTTCGTAGCGGGTTTTTAACAACTATGTCAAATTGTATAGTTTTACGTAAATGCACAACATTTTTACCGGGGTGGTTTGTATAAATGGCACAGTCCTTGTTAAAAGTTACTCACTCGACTACTGAAACTGTTATTATCCTGTTGTCTGTCGCAGCAGCGCCTCGAACAGAGAAGATACAACCGTTTTATCCACAGAAATGAATTGGATATAAGGTTAAGTGGCACAGGTATTGGATGATATGCCCTGTATGTCTGGATGGTAATGGCTTTCTTGAACGACCATTCTTTCATGGAGTTATCCTTAAAAAACGAGAGAAAACGATTATCTTAATAAGCTGCTGCTTCAAAGAATAATTGTTAACACACGACGGTAGATTTCACCATAATCCCTTCCCGCAACATAGCAGAACAAGCTAAGAACAAGCAATCATCCTACATTCATCCTACATTCATTCCGAGAAGGATATAAAACTTGAATTTATGCCAAATGAAAAAACGATGATTTACTTTTAAAGCAAATGCCAAACGGCATAAAAAGGTAAATACTTTGATTATATAAGTACATTCAGCTACTCCATCTAGTTTATAGATACTCCGCACAAATAATCATACAGACAATCCAATTACCTGAATTAGGACATAATAAGACTCATATCCCATCTTAATTGGTTAGACTACAAGTAGTCTCTCTTTTTTCTTAGTCCGTCGAGTGAAACGCTTGAGACACGAAAATGACCACGCACGTGGTGGAAGGCACGAAACGGGAGAGGCGCAAAAAAAGCGAGGACAACGATGTGCGCTGGCTATAGAAGCAGTCGCTCCTTTTTTCTTCTAGGGCTCGCCCTCGTTTCTCGCGTGAGCACTCCTCTTGCTAAATCTGAAGAAAAAGAGAGACTGCTCGAGTCTAATCTTGGTTAGAGGAGGACTTGAAATCGAGACGCGGAGTTAAAAGAGGACGGTAGAACTCCTTTAACTAGGAAAGATTAGTGATTGAGTATCTTTCAGACATGGTGACTCTGGTTGCCACCAAGCCACCCTGGCTCCCTATAATTAGTAGTACGACTGTCTATAATATCTGTCTCCGATTGAAGCTGAGACCATGTGCCCGACATGTTCTATTTTGCTGCGTGCATTAGAAATATTCTTCTTTCGAGGACAAATGTGTGAGAAAATGTCTCAAAGATTTCAAAAGATGATCTTCGGTCGACCTTACCTTCACTCGTTGGTAAGTGTTAGACAGTAGGGCTATCATCATATTGACGAGAAGGATGACTCCCATGATAAGAAAGGCTGCAAAGAGGAAGTGTGCGATAGTGACTGATGCGCTGTCCACTGATTCTAAAGGGTCCAGCTCCGCTATTCCAAGAAAAGACCAAGAAAGATGCTTCACCACGCTCCACCAACTGATGGATGATAACAAAACAGTATCTTACAAAATGTTTATTTTTGGAGCCGAGTAACAAGCTTTCAGAGCCATCTTTGTACCTTTTTTTCTTTAGTGAATTCATCCAATTCAGGATAATTATGTTGACACACCTACTTTAATTAATAATTAAAACTGAGCAAGATTACATGTAATGTAAAATAAGTTTGTATATTTTGTAACATCGTGTTGTAATAACTTCAGTCCATCTTCTTGTGCCGTTTATATAGATTTTTCTTCCTTTTCCTTTCCTCTTCTTAATTTCATCCTAGTTATACATTACTATATGTTTTCCTCTGTCCACCTCTATTAGCCAAGCTCTTTGCGAGCAGAGGATGTTTGTGTGTATATATTCGTTTAATTTAATTTAATTTGTAATTTGTAACTTATGAAGAGTCAATAATAAATAAATCATAAAGCTCCAGAATTTCAACACCGCGGTCTTGAAGTTGCAGCCCTATACAAAGGCATCGTGATGGCCCAAGTGAGTAAGGGGAACTTCTTTCTAACGATAATTTCAATATCCATAAATCGCTAGAAATTAAGAAGAATCAGGAGATGGCTTATTTTTTTCCGAACAAACTTAAGGCTAAGAAAAAACGCGTTCATTCGCTTTTACCAGGAAATTTCAATCAAACGCCCATGACAATAAAAATGAAAAAGTGCGTGAAATATAACAATAAAATAGCTTTTTTTACGTGTCTTGTAATATGCCACTGACAAAGGATCAAAAATTTACTTACCAAACTAACCCACTGGCCGTTTTGCAGGCACTAAAATGAAGGAAAAACAAAATGATAATGATGCATCTTTAGTTTACCAAGCTTTCGATTTCTCTGGTTTAAATGTTACCGAACAAAAGAGAAAGATCAGGTGTAACCATTCCATTTAAATGTACGCGGAGATAATATAGCTGTATAAAATTCGGCGGTTATTTCCTCCAATAACTCTTACTGCATTTGACCGTCAACACAAATTGTCTCGTTAGTTCGATCGTCTATAAAACTTTTACATTCCAAAATAAACAGGGTTCTTGCGCGTCTTGAAAACTCTTGAATTTTTGGGCCTTGAAATTCCTTGAAATTCTCCTTCATTCGGTTTGGTCCTGGACAAATATTGAATTTTAATTGAGGAACATTTTCAATTCTCTAAACAACTTTGGCAAATACCAGTTTAAGCCAACAACATAAAATCGGCGTTCAGGAAATGAAAGTAAGGTATTGACTCACAAACAAATTTTCATACAAATGGTTACCTTTAAGAACAGAAGCCCATTATTACCGGAATATATTCATAGTTTATTTGGAACGTGTGTTCAAAGTAATGAATTGGGTCTTTCAAATTTCAAATTGTGGCCCTTGAAAGTCCTTGAAAAGTCCTTGAATTTTATAAGGGAACAAATGTACGAACCCTGAATTTATAATATAGCGATGTAAGAAACCGAATGAAAGACGTAGAACACTAAAATTGGAAATTATAAACTGTTAAAGCTGGTTTCCATACAACATTAGGATCTCTAAAAAGAAGGTTCTTTAAGTTCAAGTAATAGGGAAAACAACTCTTCAACAATTGCTGAGATGGCTGACAGTTCTATTTTGAAAGTTGATTTCCATAAAGCGTCTGACGACTAATAGTTAAGTCATAATCTGAAAACTCGTTTCCCGTTGTGGGAGAAGAAGTGGCGAAAACTGAAGGTTATACTCTGAAAAAACAGCCGATATATCGCGACGCCACCGCTGATTACCTCGCGAAATGACGTCTGAGAAAGGAGCGTAGAAATTCTATATTGATAAGGTGTCACTGCTACCGAGACATGGGTAGTGCTTTTAATTCGATGAAGCAAATTTTCAACCAATCAAAAGCACTACCCAGATGGCTGGATAGTGACAAGTTATTTTTTATGGAATTTCAGCGCTTTTTTCTCCGACGTCATTTTGCGAGCAAACCAGTGTTGGCGTCGCGAAATTATGGCTGTTTTCTCAGGCCATATGTAAAGGTTTTCTCTCTTTGAAGACCACGTACTGTGTGATCCTTGTTTTTACTGGTACCTAACAGTTGCACAAAATAGCAAACAAAAGATGGGAAAAGGAACTCCTTCGCCGGTCCTTTCTTCATTTCTTAACCAGAGGTGTTAAACAAATTATTGTTTTCCTGCAAATCAAAAGAACTTTGCCTGCATTTTTATGGGGGCTGGGGAGTGTCTTGCTAGCAGATGTTTCACGTTAAATGTATGTTGTACTCACGATTCGGTGCCAGTGTTTTTAGAAATGAATGATCTTTCTGCCATAAACACTTTTGTGATGGCGATAGAAAACGCCAATATAGTTGCAGTAAACTGCCAGAAGATGGTCACCACGTCGCCTATAATGTGAAACAAAGCGATCTGAATGTCGCCAATCCCCTTGATAGTTTCCAACACGTGGCCAAACACTCGAAGCGTAAGGAACATGGTGTTAAGACCGTACAGATATCCAGCGATTACGAGAGCTCGATTGTCAGTGGTCGATTCAGACAAGGCCCACGTGACTACTCTTAGTGCAAAGGTCACCGTGTAGTTCAAAAGGGTGATGAAGTCCAAAATGTTCCATCGATCACTACAGGATTAAAATAAAAGATAACGATTTATTTTTGTTCACAGTTATTATTTCTTTTTGGTCTCTTTTACCTTTTTGTCAGTCCGTTTTTCATTCTTAAGATAAGCATCTTTAACACTAAAAGACAATTCAACTACCGAATAGAGTTATACCTACTGTAGTTATTGTTTTAGAGTTTGAAAATAGCAGCTACACTTGTAAATTACACTTGAAAAAATATTCTTAAATACACCATTTGATATCTAGCACGACCATTTTGTGACACTGGTCAGATTTAAAAAGTCGGACCAGGGTATACGTTAATGATAAAAGTAGGGTTTGCTACCTGAAATATTTGTTGCATTTATGTCGAATAATGTCTACTTTTGTTGGCGTCGTTTCTTTTTCATTTTTCCCTTCTTCTTTCTTCTCTTCTTCCTCTTCTTTGCCTGAGATTTGAGTGAATCCCTTTCGATTCTTCTCTTTAGTCTTTTCGTCGGACTTTGATCCCTTAGATTTCTTGGTTACAGGCGTCCACATCTGATGTTCTTTGACACCTAAGAACTGTCGACTCTCCATCAAGATCCTTCCCAAGAAGAATACCAATATCATCCACTCTAAACCGCTGAACGGGATGCTTGAGGTCTCAAGACAAAGAGCAAAATGCAAACCAAGCAGCGCCAGGTAGCTGAGGGTATCTCGAATGAACACAAAATAGGGAGTTGTGAAGTACTCTCGGTAACTTTCTGCAAACACAGAAAGAGATGCTGAAATCATTGTTTTCTTCATTTAGTGTCAGCTTAGTCATGACTTTACTGTAATAGTAAAAGAGAGTGCAGCAACATCGACGCCGCTAGGCCGCCAAAAGTGGGAAAATTTTTATTCACGGGTTTGCCTCGCTGTTGCTCCCCCCGGAGGAGGAGTTGCTTGACCCACGTTTGGCTGTAGGGGTGCAGCTGAGGTTTAAGCCTCTGAAGCTGTTTAGAATATAAATAACGTTAAATACCTACACCCTGTATGTCTGAAGGCCGTAAGCAGATTTTTGACCCTTTTGTCGTTCTCTGCCTGAAATCAGGGGATGGGAATCAGGGAAGGGAAAATCACATATCATTTTAGTATTTTTAGATAAAAAAAACAGCACACCCCAACCCGATTTCCCGGACTGCCTCTCAAGATTAAAGGGGTACCCCCTAGATGTTACTGAAAAGGTGTCTTGAGAATTATCTATTTCAATCAGACAACCAAAAAATAAATAAATAAAACCCAAAATAAGAAAAATAATGAACGAATGAATGACGTTCGTTATCGATACTTACCGAACAAATCTTTTCCGTAAAGCTCTATCAAAAATAGAAAAAAATAAGCAAACAATTAAAAAAGTGAGAAAAAAAAAGAAGCTCTGCTTTAATATTTGGAATCAAAATCTAGAATATTGTTAGAAAAAGTTATACTAACTACAGTGTTATAGCTTCTTCTTAAATTTCCTTGTTATTTAATAAGATAATTATGAGGAAAAACTTCTCTTTCCCTTTA